CTAGACTGCCGTGATAGCTAATACTACTAGGATATTTATTTATATATAAAAGGGCATAATCTGCTGTACCTAGCCTGGACTGAGAGGCCGTGTAAATATTGTACATTTATACAAGAAATAGGTACACTGTAAATATGTGTAAATACAGACAATGGACAAATTACTACAGACTGACTAACAAATGACAGACCCAACCTCTCGTCAGAGAGGGCGCTACACATAGACAAGACAGCAACTTTCACTCAAAAGAAATATCTGGTCATGAGCCCCAGCTGGGGCTCGACACAAGACAGACAGACTGACTGACCGTCAGTTCCAACGTGACTCTGACTCTGACAGTATTCGATTTCACTACGAACGCACACAATACAGATCGTACTCTGTATCTTAGCCACGATGCAGCTGCTGCTCATTCAAATAGAAGGGGCAATAAATATTTGCAGCTCTAACAGAAGGTCTTAGCACTGAAGAAGGGACCCCTCTAGCTTTCTCTTGAATAGCCATGCTTTCATTCTTCTGTCCATTCGAAAATCCGAAGAGTGTAAGCGGTGCTAGCAGAAGACCAAATGATTTTATTGCTTCCATCTGTTTTATGACACCAGGGACTGCTAAAATTCGTCAAGTGTTACAAACAGAAATGAATTTATAATGCAGAACAATTCTGTGAAGAACTGGGAAACCATTTTTGCAGTACGCATCAAAATTTAAACAAAAAATTGAAAATAGGGTATAACACGTTGTATTAAAAATTTCAAAATTTCCGTTATAATATGCGACACTACGTTCTTTGCTGATATAGACAAAGTTAATACCATCCATTTATCATAAAAATTGAACAAGATACAGCATTTTTAAACACAACGATTAAAAGTGATTAAGCGCCTAATAGGAACGGACATTTAAACGCAGAGTAGTAACTGGCATTTAAACGCGCACCAGCAGCAGGCATTTAAATAAACTCCGGCCAGCTCAAGCTTACCACTATTTCGAAGTCCGGCATTTAAAGGTTAAAGGTACACTTAGATCTGCAAGTGATAGAGATTCAGGCATTCTCAGTTTGTAGCAATGGTACCTAAAGTGCATNAGTTAAGTTAAGTGGAGGAGCTGTATCTTGGGGTAGCAAGAAGCAAGATTGTGTCGCCCTATCTAGCATTGAATCAGAGCACATTGCGTTACCTGAAAGTGCAAAGGAAGCTATTCATCTCAACGGCTTGTTGGATGAATTGATGAATGTAACATGTAACATTGTAATTATGCATTGTGATAAGACTTATTACAATGTATATGATTACCATTGTGTTTTTTGTACTATTTGTATGTTGAAAGTTTAAGAGGACATGTTGAGAGTAGATCATTAGGTAAACTATCACCATCTATGTTCTTCATCTCTGCTGTTCCGTTTCCGGTTCAGTTACATTGCTTGTAGCATGTTCAGAAGATCTCATAAACAGATTTGTTCATGATATCCACTAGTTATTTATCAACCCTGCAATAATCCTGTCAATTAGGAATATATATAAATATATTATTTATTATACTGCAATTGGGTTTTAGCCCGGTGGCAGTAGTACACAATAGGACACAACAGACAAGTAACACACATTACACTAAGTGACAACACGTTCAAACAAAACACAATACACAAAACACAATAATCAGGACATCCTACCA